AACACAGACTTATATTTTTGATATTTATTTTATATGTTTAAATGCCATTTAACAAAGAAAAATCAACCGAAAAAATGAGTTCGCGTGTCACCTCTGACACGCATTTCATAGGTTCGCCATCACTGGTCTAAAGTCTGGTGAAACTTCCATTATTCCCTATTGCCTTTTGATGGGATGATTTACCTATTATTGAAGTGGAATGATCTCTACTAACATTGGGTTTCTTTTTCTGTCTTCATTTCTGATATTACTTGCTTTCTATACTTAGTTGCTGAGTTCTTTGGTGCATAATACTTAAAATTGTCATCCTCTTGATGCATTAACTTATTTATCATTCTGTAATGAATTTGTCTCTTGTGACAGTTTTTGAGGTAGTCTGTCTTGTCTGATAGAACAACCCCAGCCTTTTTTCCGTTTCATTTGCATGGAATATTTTTTGTGTCTCATTTTCTTCAGCCTATTTGTGTCCATAAAGTTTCAGTGTATCTTGTAGGCAGCATATATTGCCTCTGGTTTGTGGTTATTGTTGTTCTTTTGTTTTTATCCTTTCAGTCACTGTCTTGTGATTTGGGAATTTGTTTTAGGACCTACTCTTGCCACGTCAACATCGTTTCTGGTTTCTGGCTCTTTTGTATTTCCTTTGTCTTCCTGTTTTGTGATTTTCCTTTGTGATGTGATAATTCTTTATAATTATTTACTCCTTTCTCTTTTGTATATCTATTACATAGGTTTTTGCTTGTGGTTTCCGAGAGACTTACATAAAACAACTCATACTCTTTATAATCTGTTTTATCCTGACAATACCTTCAATTTCTTGTAAAAATTCTACCTTTTGACTCTCCACCACATACCCCTTTACATGTTTTTGATGTCACATTTCACATCTTTTCATAATGGTCATCTTCTAAGGTACACATTATTAGCTTCGGTATTTTTACTAGTTTGCAATTTTAACCTTTATAATAGTTTCATAATGTAATTCCACCAATGCATGTTACAATATTGTGAATTTTATTCCATTCTCGACTTTATGAGGGAGATTTACATTTTGCTATGTATTCTTGTTTCTATTTAATGTTCTTCCATTTCATCTTGAAGAACCTTTTTTGACAGTTCTAATAAGTCAGGTTGAGTGGCGATGAACTTCCTTAGGTTTTGTTTGTCTGAAAAGCTATTTCTTCTTCTTTCTAAAGAATAGGTTTTCTGGATAAAGTATTAATGGTTTTCATAGAATATTTTTTGAAAATATGTTTTCATTGATTTTTAGAGAGAGCGGAAGGGGGAGGGACATAGCGATAGAGACACCAAAGAGAGAGAAACATCATTGATTGGCTGTCTCCTTCATGCCCCCTTGGGATGGAGCCCGCGGCTCCAGCATGGGCCCTGACCGGGAATCGAATCCTGAGTCGAAACTCAACCAATGAGCAACACCAGCCAGGCTCATGAAGTATTTTGGATATATCATTATATTTCCTCTTAGACTGCAAGATGTCTTTGGAGAAGTCTACTAATTCCCTTATTTGGGCGTTTCCCTGTGTGCAGTGAGTTTCTCTTCTTTGTGTTTTCACAATTCTCTTTGCCTTTGATTTTCTGATACTTTCATTATGCTGTGTCTTGGTGAAGTTCAGTTTGCATTGAATCTGTACAGGGACCTGTGAGAGCGCATGCACTTTGATTATTCACATTTCCTTTACAGATTTGTGAAGTCCATCGTCAAGTTATCTTATTTATTTATTTATTTATGTATTTATTTATAAGTCCACAGTGGCTTTGGAAGCAGTTTTTTCCTATGACAGTTGAGAGTGGAAAATACTACTGGGACATACTGATTTTCTTTTTCTTTTTCAGAGTAGGTTGTGGCCAAAGACTTCTTTTATAATTCATGCCAACAAGCTCTAGAGCAGTGGTTCTCAACCTGTGGGTTGCGACCCCTTTGGGGGTTGAACGACCCTTTCTCTTTTTTTTTTTCTTTTTAAAAAAAATATATTTTATTGATTTTTTACAGAGAGGAAAAGAGAGAGGTAGAAAGTCAGAAACATGGATGAGAGAGAAACATCAATCAGCTGCCTCCTACACACTCCCTACTGGGGATGTGCCTGCAACCAAGGTACATGCCCTTGACCGGAATTGAACCTGGGACCTTTCAGTCTGCAGGCCAATGCTCTATCTACTGAGCCAAACCGGTTAAGGCTGAACGACCCTTTCACAGGGGTCACCTAAGACCATCGGAAAACACATATATAATTACATATTGTTTTTGTGATTAATCACTATGGTTTAATTATGTTCAATTTGTAATAATGAAATTGGGGGTCACCACAACATGAGGAACTGTATTAAAGGGTCACAGCATTAGGGAAGTTGAGAACCACTGCTCTAGAGAGTGCTTTGATGTGTAAATTTTGAGGAGTTCACAGATGTTATATGGGCTTTTGTGGTTTTTCAAAACAAAATTTTCCAGTGTTTTTAACAGAACAGGCCACTAGTGTCAATAAGGTAACTCTGACTCTTGTGTTAATTGTTTGACCTATCTTCAGATATATTTGATCACCCATCTTCCCAATCATCCTTTCTATGCAGTTCTCCCCTTTTTGCTCTTCTCCATTGCCGTTTGTCATTATTGAGCTCTTATTCCATTTGCAGTGGGGTTTTTCTTTGTTTGTGGATAGGGGCCTACTTGTTCTGGTAGGGAGATAAATTCTTCTGTTTCTATTTTGCCATATTGCTGGTGTCACATAGTTCTTTTTTCTTTTGTCCTTTTTTTTTTTTATCTTTTCAGGTTTTCCTTTAGGATTTCTATCATCTGTATACCATGTAATTGCTGTACTGGGTTTTAAGGGGAGGTATTATTTGTGCATCGCAGGACAAATATGATTCCATCCATTGCAAAGTGGATCCAGAGACAGTCTTGCCATGGTGAAGGGCTGTTGACACCAGAGCTTTGTTAAGGTCATAATTAGGAACCCATTTTGTTCAACATTGGTGTGTTACTGTTGCCAGTTCTTTACCCCATTCTACTTGTTCTTTTTTATATATTTATATATATATATATATTGATTTTTTACAGAGAGGAAGGGAGAGGGATAGAGAGTTAGAAACACCGATAAGAAAGAAACATCGATCAGCTTCCTCCCGCACACCCCCTACTGGGGATGTGCCCACAACCAAGTTACATGCCATTGACCAGAATCGAACCTGGGACCCTTCAGTCCGCAGGCCAACACTCTACTCTCTCCACTGAGCCAAACCAGTTGGGGCCATTCTACTTGTTCTTGCTTATTATTGAAAGCCAACTACTTAGTTCCTTTTTAAATATATTTAAAAATATTATTGATTTTGGAATGGGAGAGAGAGAGAGAGAGAGAGAGAGAGAGATCGATGTGACAGAGAAACATTGGTTAATTGCTTCCTATATACAGCCCAAACAGTTGTTGCACCTGCAGCCTGGTCATGTGTCCTGACCGGATTTCTACTTGGCAAACTTTTCATGCACAGGACCATTCCCAACCAACTGAGCCACACCAGCTAAGGCACAACTACTCAGCTCTAATAGTTACCCTTTCTACTTGGATTCCCAGCTCGTAAATAATCTTTACCTCTCTAAAGTTTGCATCCGAACTGCTTGCTTCACAGGTTCCTCTTTACTGCACTCCAACTTTGGTTCATGTCTTGAGAGCCTTGATGTGTGCACATTACATTAACTTTACGCGTCACTTGCTGAAATACAATGGATTTTTATGTGTTTGAGCACATTCAGATTAGTCCACACAGACCTGTGTCATTGGTATGAAAGGTCCTACAGGAAGCTGTTTGTAAAGGGATAACTAGTGGACCCTGTATCTCTTGTTTGTGTCCCATCCTATCATCAGGTCCCTCCCTTCATAGTATCTCCACTATTGACTGACTTTAGGGGTCAGGTAATGTGTAACCATCATTTTGTCAGAGTCTAACTCACTGGTCTCAAAAATCATCCCATAGAACAGGGGTGGGCAAACTTTTTGACTCCGAGGGCCACAATGGGTTCTTAAACTGGATGGGAGGGCCGGAACAAAAGCATGGATGGAGTGTTTGTGTGAACTAATATAAATTCAAAGTAAACATCATTACATAAAAGGGTACGGTCTTTTTTATTTTTAGTTTTAGTTTTATTCATTTCAAACGGGCCGAATCCGGCCCCCGGGCCGTAGTTTGCCCACGGCTGCCATAGAATCATGCCTGGCTGTGACATGTGGCCAGTGTGATGAGGATATTTCTTCCTGCTAAGATAACCGTGTCCTTCACCTGCATTTTCTTTTTTTGTTTTTTAGGTTGCTGTTGTAGAGCAGGGAGTGTGGAGGCACAGCTTGAAGAGAACATTGCTCTAAGAGTGTCACAGGCAAAGAATCCCAAGTTAGCTTTGTCTTCCCAGAAGAGCCACCACCCCTGTGAGAGTTGTGGACTAGTCTTGAGAAACATTTTCCACTTGACTGAGCAGCAGGAATTACAACACGGGCAGATACTGTTGAGGTGTGGGGCATGTACAAAGCAATTTCATTTCCATGCACAATTTCACCGGCACCAGGAGCAGCACTGCAGAGAGAAGCCTTTGAAAAGAAGTATGAACAGCATCTCACTGGCAAAGGGCTGCCATTTCAGTGTGTCTCAGAAGCTTTTTACCTGTGGAGAGGTGGGGCAGGACATCCGTACTGACTCAGGACATCCCCAGCAAGAGGCTACTCAGACCAGGGACAGGCGACATGACATCTCGATGTGTCGGGTGACGTTTCCAAAGAGAAAAACTTATTGCTCCAGAAAAGAATGTAAGAAAGCCAATGGCTGTAACCACACGTTTCTTCAGGACAAGGGTGTCCATACTGGAAAAGACTGTTTCTGGTGCAGCGAATGTGGGAAATCCTTTACCAGTAGCACTGGCTTTCATTGTCATCAGAAAATTCACACTGGAGATAGGCCTTATCACTGCAGTGAGTGTGGGAAAACTTTTACCACCAGCAATGGTTTCCGTTATCATCAGAGAGTTCACAGAGGAGAAAGGCCTTATCAGTGCAATGAATGTGGGAAATCTTTTATTGCCAGCACTCACCTTCATCGTCATCAGAGAGTTCACACTGGAGAAAGGCCTTATGATTGCAGCGAGTGTCGGAAATCATTTACTTGGAAAGTTAACCTTTGTCGTCATCAGAGAGTTCACACTGGTGAAAGACCTTATGTGTGCAATGAATGTGGGAAATCTTTTACCGATAGCAATGGCCTGCGTTGTCATCAGAGATTTCACACAGGAGAAAAGCCTTATGAGTGCAGTGAATGTGGGAAATCTTTTATCACTAGCTCTCGCTTTCATCAACATCAGAAAATTCACAGTGGGGAAAGGCCTCATGAGTGCAGTGAATGTGGGAAGTTTTTTGCCAGTAGCACTGGCTTACATTATCATCAGAGTGTTCACACTGGAGAAAGGCCTTATGAGTGCAGTGAATGTGGGAAATCATTTACTTGGAAAGTTACCCTTCATCGTCATCAGAGAGTTCACACTGGTGAAAGACCTTATGTTTGCAATGAATGTGGGAAATCTTATACCTCTCACAGTGGCCTCCGTTGCCATCAGAGAGTTCACACTGGAGAAAAACCTTATGAGTGTGGTGAATGTGGAAAATCATTTACTTGGAAAGTTACCCTTCATCGTCATCAAAGAGTTCACACTGGTGAAAAACCTTATGTTTGCAATGAATGTGGGAAATCTTACACCTCTCGCAGTGGCCTCCGTTGTCATCAGAGAGTTCACACTGGAGAAAGGCCTTATGAGTGTGGTGAATGTGGGAAGTCTTTTGCCAGTATCACTGGCTTCCATTATCATCAAAAAGTTCATGCTGGAGAAAGGCCTTATGAGTGTCGTGAATGTGGGAAATCTTTTACCAGATTCTATACCCTTCGCTGTCATCAGAGAGTTCACACTGGAGAAAAGCCTTATGAGTGCAGTGAATGTGGAAAATCTTTTGCTGCGACCTATGGCCTTCGTTCTCATCAGAGAGTTCACACTAGAGAAAGGCTTTATGTGTGTAGTTAATATGGGAAATCTTTTAAGCAAAGTTCTAACCTTACTCCACACTTAAGAATTCACATTGGAGGAAGGTCTTACATACTCAGGAAATGCAGAGTTTTTTAGTTTGCTCCTAATAATAATGTAGTAAACTCCGAAGCCCCACTTGTTTGAATTGAATCTCATACATTCAATCATCAATAGTAGGAAGGTTCCCAATATATTTTACTTTTGTGAAAGCATATGTATGTATGTTGCACTTATTGTTAATGTTTTTATTGATTTCAGAGAGGATGAGTGAGGGAGAGAGAGAGAGAGAAACATCAATTTCAGCTGCCTACTGCATGCCCGTACTGGAGATTGAGCTTGTGACCTAGGCTTGTACCCTGAGCGGAAACCAAACTGAGTCCTCCTGGTTCATATGGTGTTGCTCAACCACTGACACACACCAGCCTGGCATGTATGTTACAATTTGTAATTTACACAGGTGTCTTCCCAAATCCATGTTGCTATGTAATTTTTTTTTACAACTATCTCCTGTCACTCAGATGACAACATCTGTAGACCTTTCTTTAAAAAAATTATTTTTTTATTTCAGAGAGAAAGGGAGAGGGATCAGGAGTGATAGATGGAAACAGCAGTGAAGAAAGAGAATCATTGATATTCTGCCTCCTGCATGCCCCAACCTGGGGATCCAGCCTGAAATAGGGGCATGTGCCCTGACTCAGGTTCAAATTGTGACCTCTTGGTTGATTCGTAGGTTGAGGCTCAACCACTGAGCTATATCGGCTGGGCTGTCACTACATATTTCTGTTGCTGTTCCACCTACAAGGTATTCACAGATTGTGTCAATCACCATCCTCATATGCTCAGGAAAGCCAACTCTGTTCTCTGATTTGTTTGAGAAAATTGGGAGCAGCCTGAGCTTATAGGAGGTCTTATTTCCTCTCACTCTGACTAGTTACCATATGGACCTGACTCAGTGTTGTCCCCAGAGAACCTCACCTGAGTTCAGCGAGCAGTTTACAGAATAACTGTTTTTCCCAGGGGCAGACTTTTTCTAAATAACAGTGACGAATTTTTTGATTGGTCAATTCACTGATTCAAGAACTGCCAGGCTCTTATCCCTTTGGTTGTAAAATAGTGAAGGACTTTCTAAGTCTTTTTTTTTTAAATATATTTTATTGATTTTTTTACAGAGAGGAAGGGAGAGGAATAGAGAGTTAGAAACATCGATGAGCGAGAAACATCGATCAGCTGCCTCCTGCACACCCCCCACTGGGAATGTGCCCGCAACCAAGGCACATGACCAGAATCGAACCCGGGATCCTCTGGTCTGCAAGCCGACGCTCTATCCACTGTGCCAAACCGGTCAGGGCGACTTTCTAAGTCTTTAATCTTGGGTGTTCTATTTACTGTCTGTGGTAGAGTATAAACAGACTTGGATACTACAAGCATGTGAACAACTTTATGGGCAGCTCAAACTTTCTCTGCCTGTGGGAGAATGACATGGTGCAGAAATTAGCTCAGCAGTTTAGGCCAGATGTGCATTGCTCCCCTCTTTTCCTAGGAAAGACTGAGCTCTCCAGTCCTCATCTTAAGCCTGATGGTATGAGTTTTAGGAGAGTTTCAGGAGATCACTCCAAAGAGTGGTTAGCTGTGACAACCTCAGATCCTTCTGGAAGGAACATGAATTATTGTCCATGTTTGCAGGGGTATCTCTTGCCCAGGTCTTACAAAAGGTTATTTGCCCTAATGTCCAAAATTCCATGGGTGATGGTCACCCAGTTGGAGGACCATAGGGATTAGGGGCTAGCCTACATGGTGTTGGAAAAGATTGCTGCCAGCTAGATGGAATGAGCCTCTTGTAAACCTACATCCAGAAATGTTCCGAGGAACAGACAGCAGGGTGGCATGTACACAAATCTGTGTTACTCGAAACGTGTTTTCTGTGGATGCAGTCATTGTCATTGAAAATAATCTAAAGGTCTGTGCATTCCAGGATGTGACTTGTGACCCTGCGAGCATTCCCATTGGTTTGGTGAAAGTCCTTCATTGTTCACTGTCACTGAGGAAGGTCTCTTTTGCAGGGCATGAGAATGTAGACTGACTTTCAATGTGTCAAATCTATTTTCCCCAAAAAGTTGGATATGCAAACTTCTTTTACCTTTAGCCAGTTTTAAAACGTTTTAATTTTTAATAAATGACATATGTCAAATATAATATTTGAGGAGTCTTCACATATGGAATTAAGTGATTCCATCACTGTAGTCAACATTGACCATGTATGTCACTGAATTTACTGCCTGTTCTATTTGAATCTCTCTGCCCCTCACAGCTTTCCAAGTAACCATTGATTTACATTCCATTTTAATACCTTTGTAATTTCTAAATTTTACATGATGGGAATGACAGTATTTTTTCTGCTTTTGTTTACATTGTGTAAATCTTTAGAGATTTATTAATGACACAATAGTAGCTCAACTTTTGTTTGAGAAATATTTTAATCTTCAAATATATCATAATTAGTTTCTTCATTCGAGATGGTTGTTTTTGACTATTTAAAATAAGGGTTTGAAATGAAGTCTACAAACTTTTCTGTATAATTTTTTATGTGGCTATGTTTCACTTGCCCTTGTCAATAACTCAGTACATAGTCTTAAGTTGTAGGGTAGGTGAATATGTAACTTACAGAGATTTGCAAGTTGTGATCAAAACTGATTGACCTGTTTCCATTTCTCCAACAGTGTATGAGGGATTCAGTTCCTCCACACACTAGACAATAGTTGGTTTGGTCAATCTTTTTTTTTTATTATTTAAACATCTCTTAAAACTTTGTCCTGCTACCGCACTGTTGTTTTATTGCTTTCTCCTAAGGATTTATGGTGAGCCCTTCCTTGGGTGTGTTTTTGCTACCTCTGTATCTCTGTTAAAATGTTTGGTCATAGGTTCTGCCTAATCTGCTGTGAGTTTTGGCTGTTTAGCAAAAAGAGAGTGAAACAACCAAGATGAAAGTTGGAATTTCATCTGGTGCCTTTTTGGCTTGATGGAATAAAGGTTTTTCGAATTGGAATGATATATATATACTTTGCTCCTGGTCCGCACAATACAATGGACACTTTTAATTTTAATCTGCACTACTAACATTCTCCATCACGTTCACAAGTCTTGTCATTTGGTAATGCGATACACCCTTACTTGGTAGAGCTCTCCATTTTCTTGGTCTCCTGTCATGGGGGTTCTTGCGTTAGAACAGGTCTCTCAGATGGACCAGATGGCATCAGGGTGGGCAGGGTGTCCCAAAGCCAGTGCAGAGGGAAATGGGGGGCAGTGATCAGATTGCCTGTGCCCTGAGTTAGGCATTTTGGATTTGAATCCCAGATTCCCGAATATCATTGGGACTCTCAGGGAAATCACCCCTTCCTCTGGTTCTTTCATTATTCAAATGACTAATATATATATATATATATATATATATATATATATATATATATATATATATATATATTTTTTTTTTTTTTGATCCTCACCTGAGGATATTTTTCCATTTATTTTTAGAGAGAGTGGAAGAGAGGGAAAGACAGAGAGAAATATCAGTGTGAGAGTGAAACATCGATTGGTGGCCTCCTACAGGAGCCTGAACTAGGGTCCTGCAACTGAGGTAAGTGCTCTTGTCCAGAATCGAACCCAGGACCCTTCTGTCTACAGGACGATGCTCTATTCACAAAGCCAAAGCCGCTAGGGCCAGATTCTTATTTTCTTAATCCATTGTTTCTTGGTACCTTTTTTCTTGTATGTCCCAGACATCTCCATTGATTTTGATAGAGACATGCTGAATACAAAGGGCTGGAATAAATGAGTAATCGTTAACATAAAATAATAGAACATTTTAATAAAAATTAATATTTTTTCTTGAACATTAACTTACCAGACACTGAATAACTGCACAAATTGAGCATAATTTAAACCTATTTTTCTTTTTTAAAAATATATTTTATTGATTTTTTTACAGAGAGGGATAGAGAGTTAGAAACCTCAATGAGAGAGAAACATCGACCAGCTGCTTCCTGCACACCCTCTACTGGGGATGTGCCTGCAGCCCAGGTACACGCCCTTGACCGGAATCGAACCTGGGACCCTTCAGTCTGCAGGCCGACGCTCTATCCACTGAGCCAAACTGGTCAGGGCTAAACTTTTTTTTTTTAAAGTTTCATTTATACAAACTAAAATAAAGTCAGCGGCCGCGTGACTTCTTGGCCCAGCCCGCCAAACAGCATTGAATTCGCTCTGTATTTCCCCTGAGGAGCTCCAATCTCAGAAAATACACTCATTTTCCACCAGAGAACACGTGCGGGGCAAGGACACCCTCTCCGGTGCCTCTCACCTGCCAGCACCCGCAGCTGCTGGTCCCGAACCCGGGGCCCCGCGCTCCGTACGGCAGTCAGGCCCCCCAACATGGCGGCCCCCGCGGCGGCGCGCGCCCTGGGGGCGGACATATTGCTTCCGGGGGGGAAGGGTAGGGGGCGGGGCACCGCGGAAATCGCTCGGTTTCTTCAGATCCTCCTCGGCCACCGTAGTGGCGCCATGTCTGGGCGACGATCCCAGCATCTGAATCTGTTCGCGGGAGTGTGAGGTTCGGCAGGTCCGTGTGCTCTTTTTCCCCTTGAAGTTTTTAGAGAAAAAAAAAAAAAAAAGTTTTGTCTCGGTTGAAGTTTGGTCTCACAGGTGACGCAGCCCAGGGTGGAAGGGGTGCGGCCGGGCCCGTGGGATTCCCGGCGGCGGTCGAGGTGGGGGGAGCGCCAAGGTGTTTGTGAGGAAGCAGGTGTGACGCTCCCGCCTGCGGTTGGGGTCACTTTGGGGTCCCCCGGGGGTTCGGGGCCGGGAGACACGGGCGGCCGTGTCCCGCCCGCCGTGGCCTCTGCAGGCCCCTCTCTGTGAGGGACGCGGCTGGCGTTGCGGCGCGGGGTTGCCCGCGGGCTCCGGGAGGTGGGTGCCGCCGCGCGGGGGCGTCGGGTCCGGGTTTGAGGATGAAAACGGGGCTGTGCTCAGAGCCTCGTGAGGCGGAAGCTGTGGTCGCCCAGGACCCCGGGCTGGTGGGCGGCTTGAGGTTCATTCCCCGGCTGGACACAGTGACAAGTGCGGTCGTGGCCATTTCAAAAGTTGTATTTCCCTTTTTTTAAAAAAAAAAAAATAAGAAACATCTATGTGAGCCCTGACCAGTTTGGCTCAGTGGATAGAGCGTCGGCCTGCGGACCAGAGGGTCCCAGGTTCGATTCCGGTCAAGGGCATGTACCTTGGTTGCGGGCACATCCCCAGTGGGAGATGTGCAGGAGGCAGCTGATCCATGTTTCTCTCTCATCCATGTTTCTAACTCTCTATCCCTCTCCCTTCCTCTCTGTAAAAAAAATCAATAGAATATATTAAAAACAAACAAACAAACAAAAAACCAAAAAACCTCCTAAGATATTAACATTTTTGCTTATGAGACAGAGCTGAGGGCTTGCCCAGTGCACTGGGTTTCCGCCTGAAATGTGTGCAGAAACGTTTGAAGAGGCACCCGAGCACACAAGCTTTGAAGGGAAACAGTGCCCAGACCCTCTCTGTCCACATGCTCTGCTCTGTGTTAGTGATTTTCCTGAGGCTCACCCGCTCCTAGGCCTGGTGCGGGCATGGATGTCATCTCCCAGGTCTCCTGTGACACGCACCCCACTTACCTCCACAGGATAAAGGAGTGCCGCCGCACAGGTGGGACCTAAGGCTCTCCTGGCCAGAAGAATACCTACTTCCCGGCACCATTTGAAGGGCCGCTAGCGATCCTGTGGCCTTGTGTGAGGTGAGTGCTCAGAGCAGTGTAGCATCGGGGCCCAGAGGAAGTGCACCACCCTTGGGATTCTCTCCTCCGTCCACAGGCCTGACTCCCCAGGAGCAATAGAACCACGTGAAGCAGGAGGAGGCTGCGGGGTTGGGTATCAGCATTTCCGTGACACCCCTGACTGCAGACGGATTTCTCTACAGAAATACAGAGCAGACCCCGAACACACCAAGGCAGGGCCTCGCCCTTGCCAGCTCTTTTCAGAGAACAGAAGGAAATGCTCCAGGCTCAGGTGATTGGGTTTGTTTTATCCTTTCTTGTCTTCATTCATGGATGTCTAGAGACCTATAAAAACCACCTCTGTTAATGTGAAAAGTATATATATATATATGTGTGTGTGTGTGTGTATATCTTTTGTCTTTCAAATATATGAA